AAACATGGTCGATAGCGCCGCCTTTACGTCTCTAGGAAAGCCACCTTTCCAAATCACAATCAGCATCATGCTGCATTCCGGGCAGCCAACCAATACCACTCCTTGCATTGCTCATCTCTGTGTGCGATCGCACAGTCATCACCAGACAGGTACATCTCTCTCCCGCGAACCTGGCATCCCTATGACACCGCAATTCGCCCATTTGCTCGACTCGTCTGACCACGCCGACGCGTCGTTTCGTATCGGCAACGAAACCATTCCTGCTCATGTAGCCATCCTGAAATTCTGCGCACCGGATTCGTACTTCTCCGCAATTTTCGCTCACAACACGCGAGAAGCAATCTCAAGAGAGGTTATGGTGGAAGACACGTCGTACGAATCCTTCTATGCATTGCTACAGTTCATTTACACTGGCCAATGCGATGTTCCCGATGATATGTTGACTTTGGTGGGACTATACAGGTATACATGAAAAGATCAATTGGCCCCATCGAGCTACCTCAGCTGATGATGGTTTGCCGCAACAGGGCAGCAGACAAATACCAAATCACAGCTTGTGCCGAAATGGCGAAAGGGGAACTTTTCAGAAGACTCGCGAACGTTCCGATTCAGCAAATGTGCATTATCTTTGAAACGCTTCTGGACATGCCAGACCTCGATGCCTGTAAAGTGCTATGTTTGCGCAATCTTTTGGAGCACTGGGAAAGGGTGCAGGAGCTGGATGAGTGGGAGGCCATTTCTTCAAGTGCGGTGAATGAAATCATGCGGCTCACTGCTGTTTGCAGTGAGTTTAGTTAGGAGCACCCCGGGACTCTGGAAGGGAGGAAAGGGAAAAAGCCGCAAGCTGGTAGCGTTGGATTAGACAAGAGCAGATTTAGCATCATTATGTGCCCAGGCGTATGCTGAAGGCTGTGCTAAATCCAAAAGATATCTCTTCGGCTGGCGCAGTAAACAAACTTTCACATTGTCTATCAGATGATGGGCATCAGCGATTGGATCCATGATAAAGTGTTGGCTCAGGGTCGTTTTGTTCATTCGTAGATTGCGCTTCCAGCGTCTGGCGTATGTCATTTCATTGAGCATAGAACCATACTGCCCGCAAGCCCACCAGTACTGAAGATGGTGGTTTTGACGATGACTTCGACGTTCTGGGATTCAAAATCTTGATCACAGTTCCCATCCGCTCGTGATCCTCCCTATCTGATCGACCCACAATGGGTGGTCGGACAACTGATTTGATCATTTGCTCCCTCATACGGCCCAATCAGAGGGTTTGGGGCTTGGACGGTGCAAGCTTCTCAATGTGCGAACAAGAAGTCATGAACTCGCAGCTGTAGCTCGGCTTCAAAATTCCGGATGAACGACCAAAACTTTTAGAGTTGCTGAAACCCATTTCTATCCACAGCGGTCTCACCGATGGCAACAGCCAAAGCAGCGCAGCATCCCGCTCACACATCTCCAACTCTTGCGGGTCGGGATGATCGGCCCGCAGCAGCGATGACGGGCCCAAGCATTGGGCCGCGTCCAGCCGCCATACCGACGACGATAACATCAACCAACATCAGTCTCGCGAACCCCAGCGCCATTGAATACGGCGGTGCAACAGCTAGTACAGGCGGCAACGCCGACATCACAATTCCCGCCCCCGCTGCACTCCACAACTTCTCAAAAGAAGCCGACAAAATTAAGTCCGTCAAAATGAACCAAAAGGCGCGCGCCCCGCTTGCTGCCAAACATCCTCCCGCGAACGTCCAATCCACCCATATCCACTCCTCAGCAGCGGCTGAACCTCAACCCATCGTACGTGCTCATCCTATTCCCGACTCTGCATTTGAGGAGTCGGTGTATGACTTGATCCCGGAAGTGATCCCTCCGGCGGAGCGCGCAGCGCGGTATCAGAGCAACTTTGCAGGGCAGGCGCGGGTTGAGTATCGTAGTGGGAGGAAGCCATGGGCGAGTATGGGGGTGCCGCATGTTGAGGTGAAAGGGAAGAAGACCGGTCCCGGGGAAGGCGAGTTCTTACATAAGAGGGATAGAGAGGTGGGAGTTGTTGATGGTAGGTGATCTGTCATTTTTGGCATGAGCGGGGAGCAAGACGCGTGATTCCGTAGTTGGAGAGTGCGAATTGGTCAACTCACATTCTTGTACCAAGCTGCTAAGTACGAGCCGGACCGCACCATTCGGAAAGCCCCTGTACCAAAGGAACCAGGAAAGATTCCATCCCCACCTCAAAAGGATTTCATCAAGCTGAATGCATTGGACAACATCAACACTCGTAAGCCTCATTTGCGTACATAGTTCAAACCATACCTCCACTCACACTAATGACACTACAGCTGCCAAAAAGCCCCCACCACCACCTCCATCTTATCTCACCAAAGCCTCCTACGGCCGCACACCCTCCTACCTCGTCAAGCGCATCCATGAAGATGAAGAACGACACGCACATCCCCTAACAGGAGATACAATTGGCGACGCGGTGAAACGGGAATCTCTGGGCATGCCAGCCTCGCAGTCTGGGTTGATTTCTTTGCCGGAAGATGAGAGGGCGAAGATCTTGGAGGGGTTGAAGAAGAACTGGACGAAGCTAAATTCGGATTACCAGAAGTTGAGTTTGACGGTTGATACGGTGCCGAAGATCTCCAGGTGGGTTTTTGATTTTGGGGCGGCGAGAGGGGTGGGACCGGGGCAAACGCAGCATTGGGGAAGTGGTTTCTCTGGATAGCTAGTGTTTAAGCAGCAAGCGACATGAACTATCATGTCGCAGGCAAGCAAAACCAACATTTCATCTGCTAATACAGCACCTTTCTTTCGTTGCATACAGGAAAGTAAACATGGAACAACAACTTAAATTGCTAGAGGACAACATCCACAAATTCTCCCACCCGAACATCTTGGTGAACTTTGCGGGAGCATATGCTCAACGGGCATAGAGGCTTTCTTTGCAAGCGACAGTTTGTGCTCAGCCCGGGCGGGGTGCGCCCATGTTTCGCATTTAGATCTATATCATATTGTGATGATAGAAGAAACTTTATCGGGTTTTGTAAAAGGGTCGATTTGTAGATTTTTGAATCCGCATAATTATGGGTGGTGATAGCTGATAATCCGTTCAGTCGGAGAAGCAACATATGAGAGAGCTCCATGACTTCCATGATTCTACAACAAATTATATTGACCCATTAACAAACAAATATTTCGGAAATGCATAGCTAGATGTCAAAGTATATAACACTCCTCGTATCCCTGTCAATTAAAACGCTACACCCGTCCTGCCCTTGCCAGAAACAACTATGTCAATCGCCTTCCCAACAGCCTCAAAATCATCCAAAAGCTTCATGTGCTCGTTCTTACTCTCCACAAAACCCGCAGATGGAATACCCTTTCTCAAATGACAGCTTTCCCACCCCACGGCACCGTCTCCAGGAGTCATGTTCACTTCACTCAGAAGGAGGGTAACCACGCCCGAGGAAGCATCGCGGGTGGCATTGACTGTACCAGCGGTAGGGACGGAGCGGGAGCAGATGGTGACGAGTGGCGGGTAGTGGTGTGGGGATCTATTGGGAGGATACTGTGCGTCGCGGATTTGTGCGCCTAGAGCAAGAGTTTTGTTCAGGTAGGTTGTGATTTGAGAACGGGAGAGGTTGAAGGAGTCCGCCAAAGAACTGTTTCGCAGCAAGGGCACAAAGTTGTTGTTGATCCAGGTGGAGTCTTGGTAGAGGTCCAGGAGAATGTCTTGGCCAGTGGTCTTGTCAATGACGCCACGTTTGTCGAAGGGTTGGTAGTTCCAGGTGGACCGAACAAGGAAAGGGAACAAGGTGGTGGACGGGGTGGATTGCTGGACGAGACCACCGATGTTGCCGTTGAACGGACCGCCTGCAAAGATTACACCCCGGATTACTGATGTAGGATTCGGGTGGTTGTGTATGGCGTGCAGAGTGATGACGGAGCCCATGGAATGCGCGAAAATGACGGATGGCTGTTTCGTTTCGTCCCGGATGGCGTCCAATCGAGAACTGAGAAGCTGTGCACCAGCCATGCGGAAACGTTTAGCTTGCCACTTCAGCTTGCGCTTTAAGTCGTCCCTTCTGACTTCAATTTCATTAAAAAGGAACGCGAACTTACTTTCGAGGTATACACATTGTCACGTCGCCAATCAAAGTAGAACAGATGCAACTTGATCTTCCCATCATCCTCAAGGATCTTGAGCTTGTCAAGGAACGATGTATAGAATGGATTTCCAGGTGCGTCCTGCAGAAATCCAACTGCACGAACCCTACACACAGCCTACGATTAGTACAGGGTTGAATCCTCTCCAAAAGTATGAGTACTTACCTATCTTTTTGCCCGCCTTCCACTCCAATCGGAAGATCAAATGTGCCCTTCCCAGTCAGCGTTCCATTCCACACTGTGGGTATGCCCTCACTACCAGTATCGACGAGTCGCGCACCACCGAACCCATGGATGACGACAACGTTGCCGGTAAGATGTGCGAATGGGTCCGATGCCGCGCTTGACACTGTTGCCAAGATTGCAGCTAGGAGCCACAAGATGCGATGGACACTTGTATGAGGTACCATTTTCATGGATGATTGGCAGCGAAGACTGAGGTATGGGGAGTTGTGTGTGGAGCGAGCCATTTATAAGCATGTCTGAGATGGCTGGTTGGGGCTGGTATGCCGCTCTGTTTGAGCATCTTGTGTTCAGTTCCTCCTGCACCCCTTTGCTGTGCAAACGAAGCCTCCGGCGCAAGCCTCACAGTGGCAGGCTGATAGGCAATTCCTTACCCATTCTCCATCATCAGATGCCTGATACAGCTATGGTGCTAGCAAGCTCGGATGTTTCAGACCGATGTTTTCAACAAGTGATGACTCCAAAGCGCGAGTGGAGTGAGAGGGGAGGTCGTCAGCGGGATGTGGGAATATGAACGTCTTCCAACACATCAATCGTCAGCACTCCCAAACTTGTCCCCATTTCTACCCGTTCGAAAGAAAATAATTCAATGGCCTGACCCGGATTCGAACCGGGGATGTAAGCACATGAATACGCTTTCAGTAGTTACCAAGTACACTATCAGGCCTGGTTGAGGGTATGAAAAGTCACCTTGGACGGGAACTGTTTTGTGTCACGCAAACCCGTGGCGTTGCAGCTGTGCCACAAATTCGCTGTGCCTCCGAATGTGCAAGACTCTCGGAGCTTGCCAGTCCAAGCAAAACGGATCCCAGCCTTTCCAATTCATTCGAGTGGTTCCTGAAATCGGATAGGCAATGGCGAATTGCATCCCACAGGCAGTGCAATAGCCACATCCTCGTCAATCAAGTGATCATTCGTATGATAGGCCCTGCGACAGTCCCAACAGGCAGCCTCCGTATTCTGGATTTGATGTTGTGATTTACATCACCAGGAGGCTGATGATGGCAGTGAAAATCTGTAGCGTTCCCGCGCATCGGCAGAATGCATTCAACATTGAACTCCTTCGCCATCTATTTGGTACAGTCTGCATTATAATCATATCATTTGATCATTGAAGCAGTGATCGCATTGGCATCAAGTTCTCTTGATACATCCCGCAGGTCAAATGCAAGCCAGGGTATCATTGTTAACATTTACGGCATATTTGTAATTCAAAGCTGAGTTGGATGTAGCGGAAGGGTATTTTCTGGATTGAGAAGAGCTAGCAGATTCATCGGCTGAACCTGATGTCAACAAGTAAGCATACAATACTGATGAAGGGTTACATATCTGAAATCTTACCAAATACAGAGGGGTATACTTTTTGCAGAGGTCTACGGTTGAAGAGAGCACGATTCAGGTAAGATACGTTAAAGATTCGTTGGGATGTCACTGGCTTGTTCTCCCAAACGCGCGCGCAAGCTTGTGATTTGCGTGGTCAATTCACTTCGCTTCTTATTCAGATTCTCAATGTACTCCACAGCTGATAAGAATATCAAAATGTCAATTACGCTGTTGTGGTTCAAAACAATAGATACAAAGTTTGCACGTGCAACTCACATTTCTGCAAAATCAATGCCTCGCTTCGATGACATTGACTCAATGTGGGCACCATCTCCACCAACTGATCAAATCCCATGCGTATGTTTAGCCGCCGTTTCTTCTCCGATTCAATATGATTGGCCCGTTTCTCTTCTTCTGTCAGAAGTTGTTTCAAGGGTCGCTTCTGGTCAGGGTCGGCGGATTCTGATGTTGCCGACGTTGCGCGAGGAGAGGCGGGCGATTTCGACTCTGGTTCCTCCCTTTCTTTCCGCTTCTCCTTTTTGGCGGACGCTCCACCTCCATAACCTATTGGCCGGGGAGGGATTTCGGGAGGAGTGGGACGAGGTGGGAGAGGTTTGGCGGAGGGGGTGGAGAGAGCGGCGGTTAGCGACAGTTGGGTACTTGAAGGGCCAAAATGGTCCAAGAAAGCCGAGAAGGCAGCCTGTTCTGACTGAGAGAATAGGTTGGTGCTTGCGGTAGGTTGTTGTGGTACGTCCATGTTTGACGTGGTCTACCACTGCATGGACAAGAGGGAGGAAAAGATGTCAGTTTTGGATGTGGGGGATTTGAGGTTCAGACTAATCACATGCTCGAAAGCAGTATCACATGTCAAAATAGGATAGCTAGAAAGATGATGCATTATGACACATCGTGGTAGGTTGCTTGTGCACCTTGTGCTACTGCTGTATCACTCTATCAACGTGAGTTTCTTCCGCATTGGTGACACAATCTGCATATGATATTTGTGTAACAGTGCGGTCTGGCACAAAGTCACACAACAATGCGGTCTGACTTGTCTGAGGAGAGACGGGAACGTTGGAAAGAGACCAGCTGCACCCTCCCTCCATGAAATCCCCCTTCTGTCTCTCCTGCTGTGCGACCAGTATGTACATTTTTTGCGCCCAGCCCAATGCCATCTCAAGCACTTCACTGCCATCTGCTATGGGGAAGACTGAAGACCCAAGCCAACATGCTTTTGGCCCCTTTGTTGACATCAGACTGGCCGTTGTGCCATCGTCTGAGCCAAAATCGAACGGAGGGAGTGCCCGTCAAAGAGAGAACCACTTCATTCTGCTTCTTCAATCATTATTTTATTTTCTATCTAAGTAGTTAGTGGTTGGACTCTTGTATGAACAAAGCTCCTGACCCAGTGCACTTCGAGTTATCGTCAATAATTTATAGTTTGCTGTGTTTCACTTCCCTGACCTGGGTGTAAACTCCAAATTTGCTGAAAATCGAAGTCTTCCGAGGGTGTACACTGTTTGCTCAACACATCCACATACCCAAGACGACGTTGTGCTTCAATAGTGTTTTGCGGAAAACGGATTCAATAACAGTTGAAGACCACATACACGTCGTTCGCAACACTTCTACATTTACACCAAAATCCATAAGAAAAGTCATTTCGCACGTCAAATTTGACACATTTCTCTGAGACTTTGAATACCACATCGGTCGTCATGAGTGGTAAGTGAATCCTTATGTCATCCGTTGTATTACGTTTGCATGAACATGAATGCGGATATGCTAACAAAGCATCCCAACCATGCAGCTTGCACAGTGACAGACCGAGTCTGTCTCGACTCGGCTTCCATGTCCGTTTCTCAACCGACCACTTTATACGTATATACCTCCGCTTTTCCCATAACAACAGATCTGTCATCCTTAACCGTTTATCTTCACCCGGGAGACATGTTATGGAACCCGCAATCAGATCCGTGCGGTGTCACGAGCACGCCCTTACAGAGTTGGACGGGCCTGACATTCGCTGGCTCAAGTGCAGTGCGGACAACTCAGGTCACCATCAATGATTCGCAGAGTCTCCGCTCAACACTGGCCGGGGGAAACGGGAACCATTTCTTCTTCCAGGTAAATAGTGCATCACACTCAAGATAAAATGATTAATGCTGACGCATAAACTTCTGTCTGCTTTCAGATCAAAGATGCTCAGGGAACAACATGTTTGACAGGGCCTTACTCTGGTGGACAAACCATGACGTCCGTACAAATTGATCCTGCATCATTACCATCCACAACCTCCAGCGCATCATCACCTGCATCCACTTCCACTTCCCTCCCACCATCCGGATCGACAAGCAACACCGACTCAACCAAATCCGCATCAACTCCTACCCCCCACTCTGGAACCACTCCCTCCTCATCATCTTCATCGCTCTCAATGGGCGCCATTGTAGGCATCGTCGTAGGCATTCTCGCTCTCGTAGTATTAGTATGTGGACTTCTTGTCTGGCGCCGAAGAAAAGGCCAAGAAGCCAAATACAGCAAGCGTCGGCGGGCACTGGGCGCCACAGAGATGGTCGTTGCTCAAAGTAGGATGAGCGGGTGGAACAGCGCATCGGCCTTGGTGTCGGGAGGCGAAACGGGCATGAGTGACGGAGTATGCGTTGGAAGCAGGGCACCTCCCATGCCAGCAGTAGCCATCACGCATGTCGACAAACAACCAGAAAAGCGGCGGCCATCCGTCATCGCGTCATCAGTCCCCACCAACCCCTTCGCAGACGACGTAGCGGGTCTTACCGCCTCAGCCACCGCCGCACCCAAGCAATCACGCATGTCCAATCCTTTCGCGGATCCTGTTCCACACGCTGTCGTGACGATGGGAGCCTCGCATACCACTTTGTCTGCGCATGATGCGCGCGCTGTTGCTGATGCTTTTAGGAAGGAGTTGGCGGAGCCTGAGTGGGGGGATGGGAGCAGTGTCGCGAGCTTGGCGTTGGAGGAGGGTGTGGGAAGGAGCGGGAGTGTGCGAAGTGCTATGAGTGAAGGAGGGTGGAGCGGGAGTGGGGTTGGTGTTGGCAGGTTGGGTGGGCGATGATGACTGGTGAAATGACAGGGATGTACTTTTTGTAAAGTTGTAGTAAATTCTTGTTCATGTAGTTTGTTTTTCTTTCCCAAGTCCTTACATGTAAATGCTTTCATGTGGACCAGTTTTCATGTATGCACTATTTATGTGCTGAATCGCATGGCTGTTTTTGCCAAAATTGATGATTGAAACTATGATGTTTACACTGGGTTGTCGTGAATGGTTCTCAATGATCGATGTCAACATGTCAATACATAGGAGATGAAGACAACATCAGATCGCAAAACTCACTCGAACTATCACTCTTGAAAGCGTCAACAATGGTTGTTCTATTGATGGGTCCAAGAGATGGTTGCAAAAATCGTCACTCAGGAGGAGATGCGGGTCTTGACTGGGGTTCAAAGGGCTGCTGTAACATTTGATTCAAGACCACATCCTCGGCATCCCTTCCCCCTTTTCTCTAGAACGTATTTTTCATGAATTCCTTCGGGATTGTCCATGGTGAGGTAGTAGGTGGCTTAGGATTGTAAACAAACAAGAATCGTGGGGGTTCAACACCAGAGAGAACAGACTGAAGGACAATTATGCTTCAAGTTTGACATTGCAACATGCAATAGCGGCACAGCTCTCGCAAAAGATTTTCTGCAATGATGTACGCCAACGTAGTTTACGCTACTAAGACATGGCTTATACATTGAATGGCCCTGCTCTCGTCAATTGGAAAGGTACCAGCCCTTCCCGCCACAGGTTATCACACCCCGATTAAAACCCAGAATCCTTCACTAATATAGCGGTCATGCTTGCTGATGCAATCTTTTCTTTACAGACTTTAAGACCAGTATTAGTTGGGGACCTGTGACAAACGAGAAACGAGTCAGTTTCATAAACATTCCCCAACACAACAAGAGGGCGATGCAGCACATACTCTCCAGCTACTGCCCGCCGCGCAAGTCGTGGGACCGGTCCAGTCTGTGGAAGTGAAGGGAGGAAAGTAACGACCAGTTGATGCCTCAGTCGTACTTGCTGATAAAAGGCAGTCGTTCTCGACTGATTACTTCGACCACCGCATTGGCCGTACGAACTTGGCAGCAGTGCCAGATCCGCTAGAGGAAGCAGCGGCAGTGGTTGTTTGAGCAAGGGTATTGGTGGTCAATTAAGTAGGGGCGTGGGCGGTAGTGGTAGTAGTGGTGGTGGGCTGAGGGTTGCTGCTGCCGCCAGCGCCAGAGCTGCCACAGTAGGTCAAGGCTGGCATTGTTGCTGCT